TCCAGAAAGAACATCACATTCCTTGTCACCAACTTTGACCTGCATTATAAAAAATAAATGTGTCATATATCAAAAGCAAGTTCAAGATACATTGTGGTTGAAGTTGCCTGCAAATAGCCCAAAATGACCAAGCATTTTTGCAGATTCATTTGTTCGAATTTTCCACAATTACAAAACACATTATGAAGCGATTCCCATAAAACCCATGTATGATGAAGATTAAATACAATTTAACTTGTAACTGAACAGTTTTGTACATTTAGGTGCTCACCTTATATGTAGAACCAGATTTAATAAAATTCTTCTCAAGTACATTATCTAAAGCAGGATCTAATTCTTCTGCAACATCTTCTATTAATAATGGACTTCCTAATGACAAACCATCTTCCAGATGATTACGGAAATACTTATGATTCAGTGATGTTATCTATTAGTGAAAAAAGTTAAATTTATTTTATTAGTGTGTACATTTTTCGTCAGTTATATCACAGAAGAAAAATAATAATACTGTAGAATACTTTATTTTTTATTTTCGCTATTTTCGCTGAAGGGATGATTCCGTGAAAATAAAATCCAGTGAATATACTTTTTTCCCTATATTTCACATTAAACTCATCAAAAATCAGTGAAAATAAATTCCAAGCAAAACGCCCAAAAAGCCTTTTCAGCGAAAATTTATTCCAGCGAAAATAAAGTATTCCACAGTAATATAAAATACTCATGTTAAAATAATACATGGAACATCTGCAAACAATTGAATTAATATGTACTCTACTTTCATTGACCCTGGTCCAAAATCTCAGAGTACACAAGTGCAACCAAACTATGTCTCATACATGCTCAAGAAACTGCATTCATAAATCTGAGTAAACCTTGATGTATCTTTAATAACAACTTGCCTTCTCTGTTAATTCAGGTCTTTGTATATTACCAGGACCTGGGTTTGTTTCATTATCACCACTATAATTCCCATCAAAATGTAGCCCTGACACACCTCAACATTTTCCACTGAGATTGGTAATGGTACGACCCATCTGTCACTGATTCAGACAAGGTCATGACATCACAAAAAACCTGAGCATTACAATCTAAGCTAATTATTTATTCTGAGCATGCTCAGTTGCTCTGTAACTGCAGTAGGAAGTAGTAATTTTGGATGAAAATCTTGAAAAAGACCCACTTAGGATTTTCAGATCTGGAAAAAAAAATTATGTGCATACTCGGCAGAGACTTGTTCATCAACCTGCCAAGTTTCACTGATATCTGCTGCAGAATTTCTGAGAAAATGTTGGAAACGGAAAGCAGAAAATGGAAAATGGACATTTGACAAAACTCGTTTTATAAAGTCCTCTTTTCAGGATGCGCCTGAACGCCTAATAAACCTCATAGTACACCACCCTAAACATTAGATTACTAGTACTTCTGACAAGTGTCCCTGATTCATAGACATGCTAACTAATACACAACTTAGATTTAACATTACCTGTAGCCCATTTTTGCTTTCTTTGTTTTTGATCCATGTTTTACCCTGTCCTTGTGGGTCGATCAATAGAGGAAACCTGGTGGCTTTGGTGACAATGATACCATTTTGAACAGACAGATCATCATTTGGCAAACCTTGTAGATTCCATTCTCCAATCTAAAATCAGTTCAAAAGGAGTTAAACAGTCAAATATAAAATACAGCTTGCTTGTTGGTTCAAACAATTACAAAGTTGGGAGTTGGGATGACATGTGAATTGACACACACATTCCGTTTGTCTACAAGCTCCAAAACAAATAAAATATTAAAAACACAGATTACAACCAAAGACCTCCACTTAATCTATCAATATAGTTTTAATGGCCCATATCTGTGACAAGATCTGGGATGTCTTGGATGTGTACAATCTGAATTCTAAATTCTTAAGTCAAATTGATCAATATTTAATCAGGTAGGTATGATAATTCTGAATAAATTAATTATTCCAGTCTCGGGGAATTTTTTGGGGCTGAAGCTACACTGTGTTAACAAGCATAATGACTCACAGTTGGTGCATCCACTAACATTGCAGTGATGTTTAAATTCTCAGTGTATGGTATGCGCCTGTTATTAAGTTCCATCTGCCAATTGTCTTGCAGTAACTGTCTGAACACTTGGTTGAATGGCCCAGAATATGATAAAAATCCAGTAGCTAATAAAACATCACCAACCAGCCTGAGAGAGGTAAAATATGAAATGTATGAGATCAGATTAAAAGTGAACAATGGGTTTCACACCACAATTAGGATAGACATCGAACCGAGAATATATGTGTAGTCCATTCTATTTTGAAAACAGCTTTTTACAAGGAATGGCATGTTTGAACTGTTTTATTTAATACCAGAATACCAGAATAACCAAGTCTTAGATTTGTGAATTTCGGCAAAAACCAGTAAGTTTTGAAATGGCAGATTGATACATTCAGAGTGAGTACTTGACTGGGTGTACATTTCAACAATGCCAATAATTGTTGAATCAGCTTCGCCTTTGAAACTTTCAAAACCAAAGACAATCAACATGTGTTACATACGATAGTCAGTTCACTGAATAAACAAAACAGTGTAATGCAACAAATTGCTTGTGATAATTATGATCAGTTTCTTGCTCTAAAAATCAAGATTTAAACAAATACAACTCTGCAATAATTTAACAATTTCACACACCTATCAATTTGTGCTTTAAATTCTTTACTCTGTTGGGTCCATCTGATCTTCTCACCACCTAAACCACTAATAAGAGCTGAGGCTGCTTCCATCTTATTTCTACAGCTTTCAGCACTGTCAAGCAGTTCCTATCAAAGAAATGTGACCTTATTATCACTGATATCAAATAAAACAAGTCATTGAAAATGACACAGTCCCCATTAAATTTTTTAAAGTTCTCTATGTGCTTGTCATATTAAAGCTGAGGGGTTGTCGCGAGTGTCCTTGAAACTTGAGTTCCAAGTGGCGTATACAACAGATTGTTTATTTACATCAAAACACATGTTCCGTGTAGTAGTAATATGGCCAAAAATAAAAACAGCCGTTATTTGGCCATCTTTGAACTGATTATGAAACACACTGATATGTATGATGTATGTGCCAAATACGAATGAAAAAGGTAGATGAATTGTAGAAATATATTTGTAAGGCCAAAAAGTCAGATGGCTATCAATCGGCTTTCCTTGACCAGATTTTGATACAAATTGTCATGGATATGCATCCTAACATGTATAAAGTACATGTATGTGCCAAATTTTAATGAAAACTGACAGAGCACGTCCAAGATACCGCATAAAAAAACAAAACAAGATACCTGCCAGTCGACCATCTTTCATCCAATTGCGAAATAAATCGTCATGGACATGTATCCTAACATGTATAATCTATGTACCAAGTTTGAATGACAACTGACAAAGCATGTCCAAAGTACAACATTTTCAAAAACGAGATGGCTGCCAGTCGGCCATTTTGAATCGAATCGCTAAACCACTGCATGTGCATATGTCCCACATAAGGTACTAGGCACATGCAAAGAATGAACAGAATCGGTCCACAGGATTCTGAAATTTGACTCTGGACTGACGCACGGACGGACGGACGGACAGACTCAGGAACTCACGGACGGTCGGGGACATGTATCCTAACATGTATGATCTATGTACTAAATTTGAATGAAAACTGACAAAGCATGTCCAAAATACAACATTTTCAAAAAACAAGATGACTGCCAGTCGGCCATCTTTGATCCAATTGTGAAATAAATCGTCATGGACATGTATCCTAACATGTATAATCTATGTACCAAGTTTGAATGACAACTGACAAAGCACGTCCAAGATATCGCATAAAAAAACAAAACAAGATACCTGCCAGTCGACCATCTTTCATCCAATTGCGAAATAAATCGTCATGGACATGTATCCTAACATGTATAATCTATGTACCAAGTTTGAATGACAACTGACAAAGCATGTCCAAAGTACAACATTTTCAAAAACGAGATGGCTGCCAGTCGGCCATTTTGAATCGAATCGCTAAACCACTGCATGTGCATATGTCCCACATAAGGTACTAGGCACATGCAAAGAATGAACAGAATCGGTCCACAGGATTCTGAAATTTGACTCTGGACTGACGCACGGACGGACGGACGGACAGACTCAGGAACTCACAGACGTTCGGGGACATGTATCCTAATATGTATAATCTATGTACCAAGTTTGAATGAAAACTGGCAAAGCATGTCCAAAATACCAAATTTTCAAAAAACAAGATGGCTGCCAGTCGGCCATTTTGAATCGAATTGCTAAACCACTGCATGTGCATATGTCCCACATAAAGTACTAGGCACATGCAA